AAGTGTAGTGCATGCCATTTCCTCAGGAGGTGGCGGTGATCTTCCCCGCTAGATGGTGAGAACCAGCGCCGACCTACCATCGGCTAATGAGTATTTGCCTAATCACGTATCTCTCATCAGCGGGGCACCGTCCCAGCCGGGACAAGCTGTAAGCTCCTGATCGGTCTTCCGGAATTGTGTGGGAGTGTAGTACATGTTAGTGCAAGTGTATGTAAGCAAGGAGTGAGGATAGGATAAGGAAGAGGTAGAAAAGATCGCGCGCGGTCCTTGGTCTTTTTGTTAGGATAATTAAAGATGTTGTCATTGCCAACAATGTTTTTTAATTCAAAAGCAGCTTTCGATGGCTTAGCCATCATCATCAGTTGTCTGATACTTTTTGTTAGGATATTGCTACGGCACTCGCCTGGTATTGATCGCGGAAACCACGGATCAGAACAGTCGGACGCTGGAATTCTTCTCCAAACAGCAACTGAACTCGACCTAGCTAACTACCTAGTGTCGCAAATCCTACGAATATCGGGACTCCAGCTCTAGGACCTCCTGGTCAGAGGTACTGCGCTGACATCAGTTGGTGCCTTTTCGAGAACTGACGAGAATGAGTGGTACCGATACTACATACGTCCGACGAAGTCACGATTTTCTCTTTTCCTGTTGACCAACGATTTCGGGTGTTCTAGCAAACGCGAGCATATCCAGTACAGCTCCGTCGCCTCAGAAGTCTCTACTCGCACGCGCATGTTCATTAAATTCCCGAAATCGCTCGTCAAATGGAGTCGTGTAAATCGAGTCGTAAAGGTTTGTCGCAGAGGAGAGCGCTCGCCCCCCTCCAAGACCCCGAAAGGAAGCTAACAAGCAAGCAGGTGAGCGCACAATAATATAATACGTTTTGACCAGTTCCATTTACCATAAGAAAAACAAGATTTTAAAACATAGGGCAAAATTTTATTATTTACGTTTTAAAATACATCTCTCCATACCATCGACGATGCAAGAATCTACTGCAGGCACTTACTACTTATATTATCACCAATTTACAAACATTAAAGAAAAAAGTGGTCTGAGATTTTTTATAAATAGCAATAACCTCAAGCAATAATTAGGCGTAAGCTAATTGTTTTTTCAAAAAAAATACCTTTTTAATTTCTTTTTTTTTTCAATATATCCCCCACTGCTTGTTTTATTTATGTAGGCTGTAGAAACTGACGATGACTCTAGCCGGCGTGGGTTATAAGGCAAGAGACGTTTTTACCCTTCTTTTGTTCCTCATTTGTCTTTAACGGCAGTGCTTTAACACCGCTCGGATGCTGATTAATCCGAGCGGGTGCCTCCCTCTGCGCGTGCGGACAGCCACCAGCTGGTGGAGGCGGTGATGAGGGGAGCGGTTCTCGACTGCGAGACGCGCCGCCCTTGACGCGGCCGAGGGCGCCCCCGGGACCCCATGAACCCCTTTGGGGGCCATCCACGCGAAAGCGTAACACGGCGCGGCGGCCCCTGTTTGGCAGCGCTGCTTTGCGTCGACTCATTTGCATTCGCACGGAGGGTGGCCCACTGGCGCGCTCTTTAGCAGGCGGGGCTTTACAGGCGCTATGGAACTGGTCAGCGTTCGATCGCTAGGGTGCTCCAGCGAGCAAAGAATGAATTTGTGTGTGTATTGGCCTTTGTATGTGTTTGCGTGTATATATAGGAGTAAGTGGATTGGGAGAGTGAGAGAGTGAGTGCGGGAGGGAGAGAGAGAGAGAGAGAGAGAGAGGGAGAGAGTGGGGAGGGTAAGAGGCACAGACTGAAAAATAGAGAAACTGGATATACAATAAAGACGATGAGAGAAATTGTGATGGTGAGCAGCCTGAAATGATGTAATATACAATCAAGAGATTGAGACACAAAATATGGAGGGGGAGGAGGTTGACAATGAATGAGGTGGAGATAAGTAAATAATAAATGGTTGATAGAGTAAAAGAGTGAATGGATCTGACGTAAGAGGTAAAGAACCGCCTCAAATTTGTCGGAGAGCGGTGGGAGTAGAAAACATTTACGGAAGTCGGAGGAACTATTTATCCTTTCATATTTACCAATTCTGGGTATTGCCAGGGTTGAATGAAGAGTAATTTTATTATTAGCATTGAGTCAACTTTCTTAAACATCTTTGCTTACTTGTGAGTTCAAATTGAATTTGGGTCTAGGAGTTCTTAAAAATCAATAATAATAATACAAATAATAATAATAATAATAATAATAATAATAATAATAATAATAATAATAATAATAATTTGTGCAGGAATTGAATGCGTAAGTTAAACAATCTATCAGAAAAGACTTCCAAGGGGGCAGACTTTAAGTAGTCTTAAAAGAGGAAGGTTGTATCGTCTGCAAAATTAAAAGGCTAATGAGATAAAACTGTGCAAACACAATGAAGTTTCATTAAGTAATCTTATCATATAATTCATCATTTTCTCCATTAATTTTTTCATTTAAATTTTACTTCAATTACAACTTTTTTTAGAAATAACAATATTAAGATTTGATTACTAAGTAAAGTTTTGCCATGCATTCCTGAGGCATGCGGATAAATTTTGGCATGGTAAAATATTAGTTAATTTATGCTAGTTTTGCTGCAAACGACATGAATTGTTGGAGGAGAATTATTATTTTTTAGAATTATATTGAGCAAAAACATAAATATTTAATTTATGGTCATAGTTTTTTATTACACTGTTGTATTAGGAGTAAAACATAAAGTGAAAAATGTTTAAATTGATGAGTTGTAGGAACGAAATGTTCTAATGGAAGTTTTCATTGCATTGCTATATCCACATAAACGGAAAAACTGTGGACGTTATCTTACTGACAAATGGCACACTACATCGTTACCAGTTAAAAGGTAAATTTTCTGCTACCAGGCTCGACCGGTTTCGAATACTAATGAGTAAATGCGTGAGTGGGCTCCAGTGAGTTGAACGCTGCTGCAGCAAGAAACCCGCTTGGATCGAGATAAAGTAATCTGTTACAAGATCAAACAACGAGTTTTTCTTTATTTTAGACATATATTTTCATCAGAATATTATTCTGAAGTAGTTCATTACGAAGAAAATTGTATTGTTTCTCACGCAAATCTCGTGGAATAACTCCCATTATATTGTAGAACTTAGCGCCTATGTTTCTAATTTGGCACTACAATTATAATAATACTTTTAATGAATTGATTTATAATTATATATTTTACTCACTTTTTACAAATTTGAGAAGAATTTATTTTTTAACAAACAAACAAAATTAATTTTGCAAATAAATTTCCATTCTATTATCAATTAGAATTTATTTAGTACATATTGATGCTAGTTCCTATAGCTGTAATCGAAATTACTAGTCGTCCCTTTTACGCATTTGGGTCCGTTCGCACATATCCACCCATAGTGATATTCGTGCATGTACATACGTCAATCTTCTCTTCCATACAATATTACTCATGATAATGAAACAAGATAATTCATCATTTACGAGTAAGAACTCTCTGCTAACGCGCACTAAATCGTGGAAGCATTCCTGATAAGAAAAAGCTATTAACCGGGAAAATCGGCGATATTATGAACCATTTGAATGTGCGCAAAGGTGATAGGGCACCGTCTTTAATGCGTTTGTGCTGAGTTACCCAGTTATTCATTCTCCTTTGAGAAGAGCATAATCTAGAAAACTCAAGCCGCAACTTCGGGTAATGGAGATAAAGGAAGAACATTCCTCTCTCCTCGTTAGCTGAGAATCAAACATTTTAGAGATACATGTATCACGCAGTTTTTCTAACCGAATTACAGAAAATGTCCTCCAAGAAAACTAGATAAATTTTGTATCAAAATAATTGTCTTAATTGTCTTGTTAACAATATATATTTTCTTTGGTGACGATTATTTATTTATATATATATATATATATATATATATATATATATATATATATATATATATATATATATTATATATATACACCCAACCTTACAAACCATGCTAAACGAGACGTGTCCAAATCCTTCAAAATATGTTACTAGAAGTGAAATTTCGTGTCACACACACACGTCTAACTCTTCGACATACAAACAATACTTAATGTTCATTGTCTCGCAAAACGCCTTCTGAAAGTAATAGGACAATTAGACACATAGGAAGTTATTAATTTTTGAGAATAAAATCGAACCTGAAAGATATTTGAATTTTCTCTTTTATTAACGCTTGTCAAACCAAATATTTCTTCTAGAAATTGTCAATTAATTTTTGGAAGATATGAGAAGTATGATAGATGAGTTGTTAGCGACTTGATTAAAATATATTACGTAAATGAGAATACATTTTTATCAGGGAGGTAGGCTCCAGATATTTGGTTTGCTGCCCATTACGGGACTAAATAAAGATTTATTGGAATTGAAAGGATAGAAATAAGGTTTGTGAGGAATGGAGATGGGATCCGATATACCAACCACATTTCAATTAACCCCTTAATATACCGTTTCCTTTTGCCCAGCGAAGGCTAACGCCAGACTGACTGTTCTGCTAAATTCGTTTCAAGGATACTGATACGTATATTTTATAGTACATTTGCTGATATTCAACATGTACAAAACGTATATACAATGTATTGTTCTCAATGTAATGTAAACAATGCATTGCGCAACAATGTAACAAAATGTAAACAATATTGTACAACAATGAAAAAGTGCTAACACTGCAGGGAAAAGCAATGTAACAAAATGTAAACAATGTAAATTCTGCCACTAGTTTTTGTAACTATTTGTAGAATAATCATTTAAGACAAAGACAATTCGTGTAAACGGGGTGTACATATAAATGAGATGGGGAAATATTGTTCGGAATCGATTACTTCTCTTAACAGAGCTTCCAACTACCCTGTTGTTGTTGACATCAGGGGTAGTCGAATAGTCTCCCCGATGGAACAGCAGCGCCTCCTCTCTCCAGCACACTTGCACCCTGCAAAGCCTCACCTCCCGGCTCCTGCAGTTGCGCGCTCTCCAGTGGCAGTCGCAGGAACCACTGGGAGCGGCCAGCGCCGCCACATTCCTGGGGCGTTTGAACCACGGCCGGTCTGTCTGGTCCAAGGCGCGAGGCCACGCCGCACGAGGGGCAGCAGGGGGCTCAAGGTTGTCGAGTGCGGGAGGGAGAGAGACAGCCGCGCGGCGGGTGGCGGTGCTCCCGGCATCGAGAGAGAGGGTGCGAGGCTCGGCGACCGGTGAGCGGGCGGGAGGTGAGACCCGGCCGTACCTAGAGCGTTGCCGCTCGTGGCCGGCCGACTCCCGCGGGGCAGTGTGCTGCTCTGAGCACGGCGTGTGCCGTCGAGGTGCGCCGGGCTCCGGTGTTTCGTGTGACGTGAAGGGCGAGCGAAGGAAATGGCCCGGTTCGAATCCACCGGGCGGCCTCTCCCGAGGATCTGAGGTAAGCCCGCGTGTCGCCGCCGCTTTGACGGCCAACTGACGGTTGGACGCCGACGGCTTGTTGGAGATCCGACAGCGTGTTCCGCCGTGGGGACCCGCGTTTTGAATGCACCTCTGCAGTCGGTGCTCTTTCGAGCCGCAACGGTCGCTCGCAGCGAAGCCCTTCCCGACCGCAGCCTTTCCCAGTCGTCCTGGGAGGTGCGACCACCTGGTCTGACAGTTGCTCATCGTGCATGCGAGACGGACGCGGCGAGAACGCGGCTTGTCATTGCCCGGCGCTCTCTGGCTCTGTGATTCGTCGATGCGTTGATACGCGATTTCAATTTCCGAAGCTGCTATTGCTTTCCATGTGTGTTCGCGTTTGTGGACAGCTAATCTGTGTCCACTGTCGCCACGTGGATATGCATACGCTGTCCCTTTTGCTGATAAAAATAAACAGTGTATTCTGTTTACTGATGTAAACAATTGTGAATTTTACCTGAAAATGTTCCATTGGATGTAAAAGTGTGATGCAAAGCCCATGGAATTATGTATTAAGTTGGTGTCCGTAATCTCACTGTAAAGGACACAATACAACATTGATAATAAACGTTAGATTTCTTCTGATTTAAAAACAAATTATGTATAAGACCAATTTTGTTTTCATGATGGACTCCTTGAACTACTAAGACGAATTATAATGAACAGCTTTAATTAATAATTCATCATGATTTAGTCTGATGTATTACATCCGATTTTCTGTGATAAATGAATTTAATGTCTAATTGACAATTGAATATTCTCTTTAGTTCAGCACATTCGAAAGTTACAAATATCCTTGTTCAAAGCTGCGAAATCTCTTGCAAACGAAATAGAAAGGAAGAGCGCTTCCTGTTTAAGAATGAGGTCATTGTAATCTCTTCCTACTTCTCTGGTTCCGGCAGGCTATTATTTGAAATTATTAATACAGAAATTGACTTTATTGTTTTGCAATATATTTTTTATTGAGCCGGTTATTCAGTAGCCACTCGTTCGTAACGGGACAGCATGTGAACGTGTGCCCTTTTCACTTTCTCTTGTTCGTTGTGTAGGGAAACTAATGATCGTACGAGATTTCTAAGTCACGATTTTACTGATCTGAGTATCGCTGTGTATTCAACACCCATTTATCTACGACGCCTATCATATAGTTTCGTTGACAAATATTTTATTGCTGGTTCGTTTTGGCATATAATATGTATTAACATAAAACATTGTAAGACATTCTTTTGTACTCATGAGTTAGTTGTCGGTGTTATGTGCATATGTCAATTAGTAATTGGGAAGCACTTTTTATCAGTAAAATACCATTCAATTGATCTTTTGATTTTTACATCACATCAGAAAAAAATGTTTATTAATCCGCATCTCTATTTCTTTATTCTCAAGGCTCGTGTGTTGAAAGATAATAACCCTTTCTTTCAAGAATTGAGGAATGAATATACTCATATAGTAAGACATTGTAACAATAATGTCGGAAATTCAGTTAAAATGACATTTCAAAGCTTCTCTCTGAAGTGAGGGGTAATTGTTTTGTTAGGTCTGGCGACTAATTTTTTAGTGCCCCGGGGAAGTAGCTAATTAGCGTTAGAGATTAATTTTTTCACAATATTATTTATACAACTCGCTAAATAACTTATGGCGATAATATTTCTATATTTGTATATATATTTGTTTCTATATTTGTAATATTTCTATATATTTAATATCTAAAGATTTGCGGATTCTTCAATTGACTTAATACGCAGATTATTTTCTGAAGAGAGAAGGTATCATAGGTTATGCCACGAGTCCTTTGGGAATTGTCGACTGACTCACGCAGCGAGAAGGGAATTTATCTGAGAAATTTCAAACACGAGTGTAATTTAATAGGACTATTCCACGGGTAAAATTATGTCTAACAGAGTTCCAAAATGCGTCAAATATTGAAAATAACTGAAAGCTATGTTTTAATCTAAGAGTTTATGTTATTGTACGTACGCGGTTTATTGGTGATCGACCTTGCGATCGAGGTACCATACCGCCTCGTAAGATAGATAAGTCACAGTTTATGATTGGCCAGTAAGAACAAGTGGTAAGAAAAATCGGATAGAAAAAGCGATAAACTATTTTAGATACACCGTCCTGGATGAAGCATTTTTATTTATAGTTAAACACTATTGGTTTTCATTTCATGAGTGGAATAGTATATAATAAAATTATACATTATAATAAGTAATGACCATCTTGACGAATCATTGTCACCTTTGAGTTATCAACGGTTGTACTCAAATATCAATCGTTGGACTAGTATAGGTTACATCACGAAATGGAGAATGTGAGGAGAACTACAAATTACAGCTTCCTGTCTTTCCCTAGTGCCATAATTAGGGATGACGGCGACACCCAGACTCTTGAGAACCATGTGAATCGACACTCACGCAATGCCAACAGAGTTTCGTTCACAAACAACCCGCGATTCTCATTCAGTTACGCGACAGCTAAAAATAAACAATGTAGACAGAATGAAGAGTCCAAGGACCAGCCTTCGTGGCCCCTTGCGCAAAATATTGGAATGTCGATGGCTGCCTTCGTCATTTATGGGGACTGTGACCTCTTCTACATGTATCAGAAGGTCACAGTCAGTGTTTGCGATGTGCTCGATTATCCCGAGATTAATATAGTATTGTTAATATCCGGGGTTTAGTGTACTTCCAGCTTTCTCTGAAATGATTTTTCGTATATCTATATTTTTCTTGCGAGTTGACATTGAGAATTTGCAATTTACGTCAAAATTTTCTGTTTGTGTAATTCCCTTAGATATATTTCAAAATTAAGATGATATTCGTTAATTTTTTTTATATTTTAGCCATATTTACATTTCTGATTTTTCTAAAATATAACTAGAAGGAAGTTACGTGTCACAAAACTTGAAACATCAAACGTAAAAATGTTTCTCATTACTTTTTCACATCTCGCAACCAAACCCACCTCATTCAAAAACCTTTCGAGTAATTTACATTTTATGGTGGGTTGAAATGAAGGTTAGTTTTCATGAAAAAAAATTGTTGAGATGTTGTTTTGTGATCTATGCTGTATTCTATTCGTTTGCCTTGAAGAAATTATTGCTTGACCATTCTTGCTCGTGTTTGTCGTAGATGACCCAATTCCATCCGGTAAATAATAAGAATCCAGATTCAATGCTTTAGCATATAGTTGGTGCTTAAGAAAGTGTCATATCTTAAAACTAGTTAGTTCAGAGAAGAAATGTGTTTTGAACTGATTATATTTAGTAGAAAACATTTCGTAAAGATAGTTAATAAGTCAGCCGATCTAGTTTAGATTAAAGATTTTATCGGTCACATGCGTCTTTATCCCCTGTTAACTTGCAACCCTTCAGGTTTGTTAAGTGCGCTTGTACTTACCTGTATGATAAAAAGTTTAACATCACTTAGTAACGTAAATAAACAATCATCGACTCATATCAAGTTAACTGTTTATTAAGAAAAAGGCTATGTGGAAAACAGATTAGATTCAATCAAGTCAAATAAAAGTATTTGTTCTTGGAATAATTATTGTCAATTATAATATTATTAGTACAATAAAAATGTATATTAGGTAAATTAACGTCATTTTCTTGGCATTCCACCAAATGAAACTCATCTCCGGTTATAATACTAACAGTGGTCACCGCTGAATAATAAACCCAACGAGGTTGCCTTATGTGCCTGTGACTTTGTAAAACAAAACGTGAGAAAAAAGGATTGTCTTTATAAAAGGAATAAGAGTAAATTAGCTTGTTCTTGAAATAAGAAAGTATTACATCTCCTGTAATCACGTCTATGGTATTTTGAATTGGCCATGCTTTATATTCCTGATAGGCCTTTTATATCGATGTTTTGATTTTTCTGGGATAAAATCCTTTCCGGCTTCTGCAGGTGCGTCTAAACTTTTTTTAGGAACAGAAGATTTTACGTACTTCTTTCTCGAAACACGGCATTCAAGTATTGTTTAAATAGATATTTGCAAGCACCACCCCCACAATATTGCACAAACGTGCCGCCGCAACAGATTTAATTTATTTACAATCGCAGTAATGTAAATTTTCGCGTAAATGGTGAGATTTTGTGGTCACCGATAAAATGCTGAACGTACCACGAAATGTTACACTGTTATTACTGCCTCGTCCAAATTAAAAATCTCGGCTCCGCTACGTTCCGCCACGATTTTTATCTTTTGGCCTCTGAAGTAATAATACACATTACATCACTAGGTATATTAATAGCTATTATCTGTAGCCGCACAGTAAACAAATGGCTGTTTATAACATTCTATATTAATTATTATTAACAACTTATGAAACCTTTCAGTAATGTTTATTCTGTGGTCCATGAAATATACCTAGTGATGTTATGTGTATTATACTTCAGAGGCCAAAAATTGAAAATCGTGTGATTCCTGCACTTTAATTGTCGGCGAAAACTAGACTCACATATTAATCTCGTAACTTAATTATTCGATCGAATAGTGCAACCCATAGAATATTTACAAAAGCTCAGTGCCTCGAATACGAAGATTTGATTCTCTCGCACCAGACTTTTTGCGATGGTGTCTAAATTTGTAGCAAGAAATAGATATTTAGACCAAGAAAATATCCCTTTGAGGGGTACATAAGTATAAGAATTATTGCTGTCATATCTCTGTCTTTATACACTGGAAGTACGAGTAATATAATTAAAATAGATTTCTATATGCTGAATACATCGAAAGAATAGAATGATAATATCAAGATAGCCAGTGACCTATCAGGGCCGAGTCTCAAATCACTTTTCAGAATAAAAAAAAGTGTTTTTATAAAAAAAATATAATATAATTAAATCACATACTAATAAATATTAGTCATTCAAGTGAAATTTTTTTAGCAAAATACCTTTCACGTGAAAAACGTAAAAGAAAATATTGGGCCCGGGCCTGTTTGAGACTATAACATTTTCTGGATTTTTG